TAAAAAATAAGGAAACTCTACACAGCACCAAAATATAGAGGGCTTTCAACCTTCCAGCATTGAACTGTGGCAGCAGGAATCGCCACAGTAACTCTAGGATTTACCAAAGGCCCGCTCCTCATCTTGACTTCTTGCATGTGGATGCTGCTGAGGCCCTCACAGGGGGCCATTAGCTTTGGGGACCTTCCCTATAAATTAGCATCCAGTGATCAGGGATTCCTGGAAGACATCCACCATCCTGCCTAAAGAAGATTAAGCCACGTGTCTGGGTAGTTTTAAAATTGAAAAATACATCCAAAGTCTTCAGTGGTTCGAGAGTCAGCAGCAAGCCAAACAAAGACCTTGAGAATCTCCAAACTTTAAAATTCTATTTATGGAAAATACAGTGAGAAACTTGGTGGCTACGATTATCAATGCCTCTTTCAACTCAGGAAGGGAAATCAAAAATTTAAAAGTGTTTTGAGAGACATTCAATTCTTTTTATTTTTCTTTTCATTTTTATTTATTGATTTGAGAGAGAGAGAGAATTTATGCATTCATTGGTTCATTGGTTGATTCTTGCATGTGGCCTGCCTGGAGACTGAACCTGCAACTTTGGCCTATGGAGATGACACTCTAACCGTCTGAGCTATCCAGCCAGGGTTCAATTTTTTTATTTTTTTAAATTTTTTGCTGCAGCAGGCATACTTGGTGTGCCACACCATAGATCACCCTGGGAAATACATCTATTCAAAGGGAAAGAAATCCTCTGGGGTGATCTCCACTGGGAGGGGGCACGGAGTATACAAGGAAAGGGAAGATCACCCCGTGGCTGGAGCATGGCAGACTGAGGAAGGCGAAGAGACCAACAGCAGCCGGGGAGGGAGGGTTTTGAAGACAATGCTGCAGACCTAGGCTTTATTCTTGGGAGTAATAAGAAGCCACGGAAAGGTTTTACGCAGGAAGGTGACCTGAAACCTTTCCATGACTCCTTATAGTGGATAAAGGAAAGGTTTACTGAGGGTCAACAGGATCACTTGAGAAGATTAAACTCCAAAGAGTCCTTTCTGTGTCTCCAATTTGTCAGTGAGGCGAGCAATATAAACAGAGGTTCATCATCATTATTGCCATTGTCATCATCATTATCATCATCCTAGTCTGGGGCCAGCAGAAAACGCAGTTCCTATAAGCACATCTCGGTGGTCACACAGCTGCATTCTAATTCTCTTCTGGGTAGAGATGCCAGTGCCAACCGCAGCTCAGAGAATATGCTCAGAAAAAAGCAACGCAAATTACCTCTGGCAGTTACTTGGCTCAGTTTTCAGAATCCATTTAAAAACAAAAAGGATTTTTCAGTAGCCAAAAAAGATGGAAAGTGCTGGCAACTGGGAAAATCACTACTGGACCTGTAGCAATCACGGCCTTACTTAATAGCAAGGCCCTGGAATATTTTTTTGCTGTGTTCACATAGGAACAACTTGCTTACATCAGGGAATGTGAGCTATAGGCACAAAAGACAAAGGAATAAATAGGATCGAAGAACCAGGATCACAGTTTGATGTGGCATTTAATAGCAAAGACGGGACCAGACCACATGACTGGTAGTTAGAAAATGGGCAAATACATTGAAATGAAAATAAAACCCTACTTTGGCAATCAAAAAAAATCCTTGCATTTTGACCATGTATTAATATGCCTAGTGTGTCCCCTTTCCTTACCCTCCAAACTTACTGCTTATTTAGAAAAATACAAAGAAAGAGAGGGATGGGGAGATGAGCAGTAATATAGGATCACTCCTCCTTTAGCCTGACCCTGAAATTCCTCCATCAGGAAGGCATTCCCGTGCACAGCAGAGGCCCCCGCTGCACAGAATTCTGATGATTTCTAATACCGCTTGCTAGAACTTTTATTTTTCTGATAGTGTCACACAATTGGTTCAACTCTTTAACAAAATACAAATATATGACACCTATGGTAAAAAAAATTCAAACAAAAACTGTATCTAGCAAGCACATAAGAGAAAAAGACACACACTCATTCACATGCTACAGAGAACTTTGAAGTATTAAGTCTATATTTTTATAATGGTCAGAAAAGTTAGCTTTTCTAAACATGAAACCATAAAGGAAAAAAGTTGACTGACTTGACTATATAAAATTTTTAAAATTTCATGTGAGGGTAAAAGAGTGATAAGCAAAATCTTTTTAAAAAATCAACAACAAATAGGGAAGTAAATACAATTCTGAAGTTATGGGAGAAAATTTAATTCATTTTGGTCACTTTAGTTTTTGACAATATCTATCATTTCTTTAGGAGATATTATGCCAACTCTTAAAAGCCTTGCAGAATAAATGATAGCAAGCAAAGTTAACCTGGGAATGTGAGGAGAATTAATATAATTTACTCCCTCAGCCTTATGAGTGTAAACTTGTGCAGTGGCAGAGCCAAAGCTTAGAAGACCTCTATGCTCGCTTTAATCCTATGCTGCCAAGACCTTGTCATTTTTAATAACTTTTGAAAAAGGAGCCCCGAGTTTTCATTTTGTATTGGGCGCTGCACTTACTGTCCTGAGAACTGCCTACCTATAAAGCAGCCAGTTCTGCACCAGAGAACACCAAGATCCTTAGGAAATAGCTCTAGTCATGAAGGGTTTATTGTCTAGAAGTAGACGTAAGTTTAGTAGTCAGATGATAATAAAAGAAAGACAATAAGACCCATGGTAGAGATGAAGCTGCAGAGGAGGTGGGGTTATTTCTTGGTGGAGTGAGGTCACTCACTGCCTGTGGAAGAGACAGCTTTTATTTGGCCCTAAAATGAAGAGAGATTTGAACACTGACATTGTGGGCGGGGGAAGGCAATAGAGTCAGGGTGCTATGTAAGAGCACAGGGACTGGCTGGGCACCTGCAATCCTTTGGTTCGCCTGAGGAAAGAAGAAAGGAGGCTGAAAGAGCAGGCTGGCACTGGCCGGGGGCGGGGGGCCTGACTGTCTGCAGGCTGGCACTGGCCTGGGGGCCTGACTACCCCGCTAATGAGGCTATACATAATTCAACAGGACCTGTGAGCCACTGAAGGGTTACACCATTGCTCAGAGTCATAATTTAGGGAAGATTAAAGCTGACGCAGGGCAATGACAGTCATTGCATCACCTCTCTGGACTCCCAGCCCTGTATACGTTCACACATGATGTGCACTTGATGTTTCCACAGTAGCCAGATGGAAAGTGACATCAAAGTCAGTGCCTACCTCTTTTTAATTCAACCAGGTACACTTTATCTGTTGTAAATTGACCAACAAGAAATGGTCAAATGCTCTGGGGAACCAACTTTTATTGTTTAAGGTTTGAATTGTCAGAATAACAACACAAATTTAGGCAGCTCTGAGAATAATATAAAAAGAAAACAATATCTAGGGTCAATTTAAAAAAGAGATACATCTCCAATCTCCATTTCCTGAAATAGTGCCTCTAAAAAAGCATTTTTATTGGAGTTATACAAGGCAGCATTGACATTCCTTCTATTTACTTGTGAAAACAAACCTATGGAAGCTGAAGCTAACTGTAAATTTCCAGCGCTTAGATATGTGAGACAAATAATGGGCTCTGGCCTGAGCATTTCATTGATTACCAATTGGGATCTTTCTCTGTTAGGGCTGCATCAGAAGAAATCAACACTTGCACTTGAAGGCTTAAAAATGAATATTCATCTCTCTCCACAGATACTCACACACACATCTATCGCTATACATATCAATCAACATATATATACACACATATACATAAACACACATGCATATCAGCATATATCAACACACACAGCACCTGAATAACTGAATATCCTTGCACACGATACTAAACTCCAAACAGAAATTTACATTTCCTCTTCTCCTAAATGTTTCATCCAATCCAATTGAGGAAAAACCCCAACACCCTATTGATAAGAGTAATATTTCAGTGTGTTATTTACTTGACATCAAATTAGAATTTTATTGCCTCTTTAGAAGGAATACAAAGAATAAACTTTATGTGAAAATGAAAAATATACAAACAATGGATCAGAAACAAAATAAGTTAACCTCAAGAAATACCTAAGTAAGGAATATTAAAATTGCATCTTAAGATAATTTAATAGATATCAGTTAAGGTGTATCACTGAAAATGTGAGCTTGATTTCTTTAATTCCATTTAAACCATTACTTCACCAAAAATAGAAATATAAAATAGCCACTTTAATATTCTAGCTCTCAAATAAAATGTTTATTTGTGGTACACCTCCCTTTAGCTCATGTAATGATGGTTCTGTTTCCCAAAGAAAAATGATACAAACCAACTACTTTTTGAAAAGAAAGTCAGAGTTGTCAATATTCTTTTTAATAACAAAATAACATTTTCTTTAAAATAATCTGTGAGACAAAGAAATGCATTTCAGCGAATCTCAGTGTATTCCTAAGAAACGAAAAGCTGTTTTTTATTCCAATTCCCATGCTACACTGAGTTATTACGACAATATATAATATCGAGAAAGGGAAAGCTTTTGATATTTCAAAACTGCAACATAAAATGAATTTAATTTGGTAAATTAAACTCAAGATTAAAGGCTAATGAGCTTCTTCTTAGAACTTTTCCATCTTAGTCATCTGAACTTTCGTGTGGAAAGTCACACAAGAGATCATTTAGTCTTAACAGGGTGGGTTGCTTTAGAAGGAGTACTGTCAATATATTAACTGATACATATTAGAGATGTACCCAATTCCTTTTTGTTCAAGTACATTCTCATTTGTTTCTCTGAGCTGCATTACTCTATGAGAGAATGTTGAATGAAACTCTGAAGTTCTGACTTAACCACATATTATGAAAATAGTCTCAAAAAATATCATGAAGCCAGGCAAAGTCTTGCATTTCCACAAATGGGTAGGCTTTAAGACTGAGATACGGGCAAAAAGCCTTCCCTGTGCTTCATTTCAGAGAAGGGGTTGTCAAGACATTAATTAAATGGTCTCAGAAAGAGAAAAGAAAGCATCCTACCTTTTTAAAAATTCCATATATTCGGTATGCTTGATGAGTCCGGTCCTCATCATTATTGTCTGAAAACATTGTCGATCAATAGCCCAGAGCTTCACATTTACAAGAGCTGGAGAAACAGAAAACAGGAAAAAATTAATTACAGAATTTTAACTGGAAACTGTATCCTGTAAAAGAGATGAGTTATTCATGAGAGGTATGAAGATAATCCACCTTCGTTTAAAGCTAATATCGTAATGTCCTATTTTAAGAAGTATTCCTATGAGCAAAATGTAGTTCATAATATTTCATACTAGTATTAATGTCTAGTAGGAAGTTGGCTATTGCTCCTATGTCCCTAAGGAATGAGAACGCCTAGGTACACACTGAAAGTATTTAGTAATTTCACAACTATATATGAAGGGAATCACATGGAGCGAAAGAGAGGTAATAACACTCCCTGGTAATACTTCAGAATGGTGTTAATGACTTAGATGACAATATTTTAATTATAAAAAGTAAATGTGAAAATTCAACTTTCGTTAAGGGGCAAATTTAATAGCATACAAATAATTATATAACAATTTCTACACAAAGCTCATTTTACAAATTAAAACCTGCACCTAAAGTTACCACATAAAGTTTAGATATGTTTGAATTTTAATTTTTGCTCTTACATACCACTGTCTTTGACAATGAATAATTAAGTGTTGAAACTGAACACCACAGAATTTCATCATTTGATTTATTAAGCACAAGTCTAAGAGACAAATTTTAGAAAAAGACAGATGGTATAGTGTAACAGAACAATATATCAGGATAAGCTTAGATTTAAAAGAAGGTACATTAAAAATCTTGGTAATTGAATCTGTGTGGTGGGTATACAAGAGGCTTATTTAACTATTCTCTCTATTTTTATGTATGTTTGCAAATTTTCATAGCAGAAAATGTTTTAAGTTACCAAGTGAACTAAAGAAAGCCAATTCATGTATCATACCAGGGGGTTGAGCGAGGTCATTGAATGGAGCCAGGATACAGTTTAATAAGCTAAACAAAGAAAGATAAAGAAGTGCAATTTTTCATCTTCATAGTTCTCAGACTAAGCCCCGAGAACACAATGGATCCAGGTTTGGGGGTAAGAGATGGGAGAAAATTGTAATCAGGCCATGTGTATGCCTTGCAGGATGTGCCAGAAGTAACTAATACACAGAAGACTGAGGGAAAAGATGATGAAGGAAATACTGTATTCTAGAGTAAATCCCTATCTTTGAATTCTACCTAATTTTCCCTTGCAAATCATTTGAAACTGGAAAGTAGGGCATTCCTTCCCTCTTGGCCAGCTCTTCATTGGGGGAAATGGATGCACAGTTAAGTGAGAAAAAATAAAATATCGAGGACTGGTGTGTACATGGCTCCATTTCAAATACCCTTTAAAAATGAACCTTCATCAAAAGCAAAGCTCATCTCACAAGTATTCTCCAGCCACACTCCAGTTTCTCCACTAAATCCAGGCTCCTTTCCAGAACACCTGCTTACTTAGGACAAAATAGAAGACTGGGTGACATAGCCACAAAGGACTGCAGAAATCAGGAGAAAATTCAGGAAAAGTAGAACCTTCCAAAATGATAGGACTTGAGCTCGCAGAGCTATGGAGAAAAGGTAAATTGGGTCGGAAAAGTACATAAACAAGAGCACAGCTGGAGTAAGCCTGGGCAGTGGGATTCCAGGCAGGGGTGGAACAAACTGACATGGCTGAGATGTCTGTAGTGTTCCTACATAATTTGACAGTAGGTTGACTGAAGGCCCTGGGAGCCAGTCCTATTGAAGCAAAGATTAATTTGATGAACAAAAAGACAAAACAAAACCAAGCAAAGAACCAAAAATGTAAAGGCTACACCATGGGTACATCAAAAATTTTTAAATACTAACAAGAATAAAAAATAAAAAAAAATTCTGTATTCATCATCACTCTTTTGAAAATATATATTTATATCTTTATTGATTTCACAGAGAGGAAGGGGGAGGGAGAGAGAGAGAGAAACATCAATGATAAGTCATTGATCGGCTGCCCCCTGCACGCCCCCTGCTGCGGATCAAGCCAGCAACTAGGGCATGTGCCCTGACCGGGAATCGAACTGCGATCTCCTGGATCCTAGGTCAACGCTCAACCGCTGAGCCATTCTTAGCGGTTTCTGGGTATTTCCAGTTTAGAAATGCCTCTCTCCAAAGGACAAATACACCAACCAATATTGTTATATTGTTATTTTCAAAACAGTGGCGATAAAAATAGCTGTGCTATTATATATATTTTTAAAAAGCCCTTCGAAGGGATGATTAGAACTGGAATGTCCAAGTGAAGTACACATGCATTTTAAGGCTTTGCCCAGCAGGAAGACTTCACAACCCATACCCCTAGCAGCACTATGTATATAAAAGTTTCTATTCCAGGCTCTTGAACCGGTAGCTGCTGTCACAGTGAGAGCTGAGCTAGGTTAAGCTGGGAGAGGCGTAACTTGGATTCAGAGACACCGAGAGAAACAGAATGCAGACCAGCACAGGTGCTGCCAAAGAAATATGTAGAAACCATACGGCAGAGTATGATCAAAGCTCTGTGTGGGGAAAATGTTGTAACAGGTGTGGACACAGTTTCAAGGGAAGAGGGATGAGCACTAGGCCAAGGCCACAGTAATTCAGGAGTCAAGTGAGGAGGGTCTTAGTGAATATAGCAGTGCTGAGTGTAAGAGTAAAGGCTTGGCAGTTTTGTGGTGTGTGTGTGTGTGACCAAGTTATCCAGAGCATTTTAAGTCCAAGTTCACACATCAAGGCCTGGTTCTGTCCCTGGCCCTACTTAAGGAACCACCTTTCTGTCCTAAAAACTACTACAGCTTTTTCTCTCTGTGTCACTCCCTGGCACTCAGCACATTACTGATACGGCTCATTATCTCTGTGTGTGCTCAAGAATTAGGTATATTTGTTGATTAATATAATTTTTGTACATGACGTTATGTACATGATGCAAATTTTTTTTTAAAATGTAAGCCTAGATGGATTCTAATGTTACATTAAAAAGTCTAAACTGAATTGATCAGATATTATAATCTATGTGCTGGAAAAACAATCTCGAAAAATAAGTTTACAGAATTCAATATTTTATCTTCTGATTCCCATTTACATGGGCTATTGAAATGTCTCTAAGTGAAAGTGTTTGGATATTTTGCATAACAATGAACATGATTTGATGAGATTGCAAATGTGTCCACGACCTTGGGCAAGATGCCAGCACCTTTTTTATATTCACCCAATATATATGTTAGTCAAGTCAGCATTTTACAGGTGGCTGAGCATGACTAATAATCACCTTGTCTTGTTATCAAAAGTGTGGTTGTATTAAAGTTGGGATTAGCATCTCGATTCTTAAACAGCTCACTGGAGTGTAAGTCTGTTGTTTCCATAACTTACAGAGACCATTCAAAATTAAAAAAAAAACCCCAACTCTCTCCATTTACCTTTGATCTTAAGTGGTGTATTAATCTTTGTAGGGAGTAAGCCCTTCATAAGTAAAATTTCTGTGATTTTCACAATGTTTGCTGTTGTTGAACGGGCATAAAGCAAAGAAAGTGTCGGGAAGGAATTTTCCTTTCTGTTCTAATATGTATCTAAAATTCTCTGCTAAAATATTTATCACTGTTTTCAGATTAAGGCCACATTGAACTCAGTAGAAAATATGTAAATTCCCACTACTCTGTGGTCTCTAAGTGCAGAGTATATGAAGAACACCTTCAACATAGGAAACACTTGGCCTTCATTTAGGGAAACCAGGATTATAGGGGGAGGCACCAAAAATTGTGCTTGACTGAGACCACAAATCTGGGGTTGGCTAAATTCTCCTACTGGGATTTCATCTGCTGTCCAGTTCCAATTTTGGAAGAATACTGAGAAAGCATGTGTGGCTATAAAGCACTTATAGACTAGAATATTAATTCAGCCCATGTTTTTGTACACCAATGTAACCAACACTGGGGCTATACAGAAGGGAGAGAAGACAAATGCATAGCTCCTGCCCCCAAACTACTTGTGATCTAGCACAGAGGCCAACGAATTGTTGTCCACGCCAAATCTGGCCTACGATGGTTTTGTACAGCCCCCTAAGAATGGGTTTAGTGTTTTTAAGTGGTTGAAAATTTTAAAAAGAAAGATATTTCGTGAAACATGAGAATTTTATAAAACAAATTTTAGTGTCCATAAAAGTTTTATCAGAACACAAACATGTCCACTTATTTACACGTTGTCTCTGGCTGAATTGAGTGGTTCTGACCGAGTCCATTTGCATTGCACTTCCTGGCCCTTTAAGAAAACCGTTGCCAACTTGTGGGGTGGCTTAGCAGAAAACCAATGAAAAGTAAGTGCTAGCAGTGGGTAAGTATCTGCGGCTGTGAGGACACTGAACCGGCATCAGAGACTCCCCTTGGAGAGGAGCTGAGAAGGGCTCACTAAAGGCTTTGCACAAGAGAATCATCTGAGCCAGGGTTCCTCACCTCATACTATGAACTGGATGTTCGTGTCTCCTCCAAATTCAAAAGTGAAAGCCTGACTCCCCATGGTGGCGGTATTTGGAGGTGGGGCCTTTGGGAGGGAAGTGGGCCCTGGTACCAATTCCAATGTGGGAGGAGGGGGGTCCCACACCAAGAAGCAATTCTCAGGACACCTGCTGCGGTCCTACAACACAACCCGATTCTGACACAATCTACTGAGAAACAGCGTCCGATTCCACAGGTTAAGGGTCCAGTCCTCTAGGAGGGTGCCCACCACGGCCACTTCGGTTGTGCCAGTTGAAAGCCCAGGTTGTTACCTGTACTTCTGACAGACTAGCTATAGATCAGAGGTTCCCACGACGCCCTCAGTGAATTTGATTAATTTGCTAGAGCAGCTCATGAAGCTCAGAAAAACATTTGACTTACTAGATTTGCTGGTTTATTATAAAAGGATATGACTCAGTAATAGCCACAGGGAAGAGATGCTCAGGGCAAGGTATGAGGGAAGAGGCGTGGACTTCCCATGCTTTCTCCAGGTACCACTCTCCCCAAATCTCTGTGTGTTCACCAACCTGGAAGCTCTCCAAACCCTGTCCTT